AATATAGTACATTTCAGTAAGAGCCCTCACTTGCTCCTTGCTGAGTTCATTGTCTAGATCGGAGCATGGATAACACATTAGAGTCACACCTTGGCCTTCGGTCTCGACTAGATCCTCAAGGGTTGGGTCATTGACCTTCTCTGACTCCACCACTTCGAGACATACTAAGAAATTTCCCTACAACGTCTCCCCTTGGCATTGTAGAGTCGGTACTTTCATCGGGATATTCCCTACCCCGCTGGTCGCACTCAGCGCCTCCAGGGGCGGTCCTCTCCCTCAATAACTAGACTCCAAGCACCCGAGGTGAGTTCTTGGATTCATTGTCGGTGTCCTCACTGTTGGATGAGGTGGAACATGGAGTGCTGGTGTTAAAGAAGTCAAGAAGGTCATAACATTCAGGACCGGAATCTGAGTACGACAAGGTTCCAAGAGAAATCCTTTACCTAACAAGTTAAGTTTGAGGAAGAAAGCTAAGGAATCGGTTAGTTGGTGGCCAAGGTCTGTTGAAGCACAAGCTGAAAGCGAGCAAATGGTAGGGAGATGTAGACCTGTTCATGGGCCGGGTGGCCCGACGGGCCGGCCCGGCCTGGCCCGGTCCCCAGACGGGCTTGAACAGGTATATAGGCCCGCGGGCTAAACCTTGGGCCAAAAAAGCCCGGCCCGCAATAAATTCGAGCCGGGCTCGGGATTTTCCAAAATAGCCCAGCCCGGCCCGACCTATAAATAAACCTAGAAAACCTAGTTGAATACCCCTCTTTTTTTCACCTCTTTCCCTTCTTTTTCCAACCAAATTCTTCTTCTCCACATCCTCTTTCCCTTCTTTATATATATTTTTTAATATAAGTAAATTTTGAATTTATATATTTTTTTAATGTAAATAAATTATGATTTATATTGATTATTGAATAGGGAAATTTTCTAATTTTTTTTTATTAGGTCGGGCTTCAGGCTCAGGCTCGGGCTTCGGGCTTTCTATTAGGGCCGGGCTCGGGCTCGGGCCTAACATATTTCTGTTAATGAATAGTAAAAGCCCGGCCCGACCCGGCCCATGAACTGGTCTAGCCTCAACCAACAACCCTATTTAAAGGAAAATGTACAGCTCAGACCGCTTCAATCCAATGGCCATAGAGCCACTGACCTGATAGTCCGAACTGACGTGTGCCACATGGCGTCGACCTTGGGAATGCAAAACGACACCGAAGAAATTAGTTAGTCCGATCGATGAACCCAAGTCAGAAGCAACCCAAGTCGGGCGACCCACTGCCTGTCTCGTGCATGGTCATGACCGATCGATGCCAATGCCCGTCCTGCGTACGGATCAACAACGATGCCCGTAAAGAGCACAATCGACAAACACTGATGCCTCACACCCGTGCTGGATACGGCACCACACTCTCGGCCCACTATGATCCTCCAAAGAGGTGAGAAGTCAACAAGGAAGCAATTGCCACTAGATGACCAAGTAGAGCTCTCGGCAACCGAGGCCAACACCTCCGTGCCACTGTATGACGCTCTCTTCGACCAAGCCAAGGCCATTGCTCGACATGCCATCCAATGCCTCCAGGAAGCATCATACTACTCTCTACGATCGAAGTCGAGGTCTCCGTTCAACACGCCACTCGACCTCGGCCACTATGTCGTCGAGAGTGGGGAGCAATTGATATAGGCGCATATGGCAGGGTCCCAAATGGCACCATGTGGCATCGGTCAAATGAGATCCTAGTCGTCCAACTCTAACTACCTCCAACCACTCCATGGCAAGGTCAAGTATAAAAGGGGGAGTCCAGCTTCAAGGTAAAGCCATCTAGTCCACTCTTGCTCTCTAGCTTTCCTTCTCTTGAGTGACCTCATTTGAGCGCTCATCTCAAGCTTGGTCCGACCCCTCTCAAGCACTTGACTAACTGGAGCGTCAAAGTCTCTACCCATAGGATAACACCTGGGGCCTCTGACGTGTGCTCTCTCCTTATCTCAGGTTGAACACATCGGCCTCGGCTAGAAACAAAATTACCTTGTTGCCCTCAGCCCCATCCTAGGAAACAACACATGTAAATACGAAAGATGTTCGAAATATACACTATACAACTTCAGTGTCTTGTGGGTAGAAGATTCAAGCTCCGAGGGACCAAGGTGTAGACATGATAACAATGGGGACTCATAGGAAATGTCCACCCAATCCAATGAGTATCCATTCCAATCCCCGTTTGGGTGGGTTTTTTTCCCTTTTATAGGGCATGTTTTGGGATTTTAGGATCCGTGTAGGTGTTGAATTTAATAATATTTTGAATTTTATGTAAAGGATAATTTATAATTATATGTTTTTTACATGTCTTAATCAAATAATTGGAAATTTTGATGTTTATTCATGTTATTATACTTATTTATTGCTTATATATAACAAGAAATAATTGTAAATTATGTGTTCTAAATCCAACCTTTCAACTTAATCCACCCCACCCTCAAATGCGGGAACGACAGGAGATTTTGAATTTTTCATGTGCTAGAGGATTTGGATTTTGAAAATCCAATCCACTATGGGTTTTCGAGAAATTACAAGTTGGAAGGTGCAAAAAACCCAATCCACTATAGGTTTTGGGGAGAGTACAACTTAAACCCACCACCCCATTGCCATCCCTAATCCAATGCAACCTTGGGCCCATAAGTCAACCATTGGAACAAAGAATGATGAATGATGCTAGTGCAATGAGTGTAAAGAACATTTTTAGAAGACATACATTAACACATAAAATGATAAAACATGATATCATGGTGTGGAGATAATTACTACGTGCCAACTGATTCTTGGAGCACGGCTCTCCTTGGTTAGTTGTTTTTGTTCTCTCAACAAAATAATAAGGGGTAATAGCATATAAGGGTAACTTTTTGGGTTTAATATCAATAAAAGTAATATATTTAAAAATTTCAAAAATAGGTTAACTTTTTAAAAATAATATCAATAAAGGGCAAAAACATTGTTCATCTTCTTTTTCTTGCCATTTTTGTTCATCAGAGCCGCCACCACCGTTGTCCGCTGTCCAGCAATATTGTCGAAGGTGGCGGCGACAACACTGGTGGTTTCTCTATCCAACACTACCACCTCCGCCTCTGCCTCCAACAACATTGCTGGAGATGGGTGGAGACAGAGGTGGCGGCTGCAGCGGACAAAGGAATGACCACCAGCGCCACTGCCGCCACCTCTACCTCCGGCTACCTTCGGCAATGTTGCCAGAGGCGGAGGCGGCAGTGGACAGCGGTGGCGAGTGGCGGTGGACAGTGGCGGGTGGGGCTCTGGTGAACAAATGGCAAGAAGAAGATGATGAACAGTGTTTTTGCCCTTTATTGATATTATTTTTAAAAAGTTAACCTATTTTTGAAATTTTTTTAAATATATTACTTTTATTGATATTAAACCCCAAAAGTTTCCCTTATATGCTAGAAATCCAAATAATAATAATAAAATTGCGTGGTGAAAGTAAAATAATTATATCCCTTTTTAGAATTGAGATTGATTTTTGTTGTTTTATCCAAACCAATTGCGTCATTAACAATATATAAAGTTTTTTTTTATTTTCTTATAATTTTTATTTTTTTATTATATTTTATGTCTAAAAGGATAAATTTCATAGACATTATATGAGAATTGAGAAATGAGATAATTTTGGTTAAAAACAATTGCTTTATCAGAAATTAACTTCTAAGTTGTAACATCATAGACTTGCTATCCTAATTAATAATTAGTTTGGTTCTCATTTATCTTATAGGCTGTGTTTGGTGGCAGTGCAATTTTATTTGCACTAGGACAAATGCATGGGAGTGCAAACAAAAAAGAATGTAAATTCTGGTTTAGTCTTTGTTTCAGGTTTTACTTTATTAGACTGTGTTTGTTTGCAGTGTAAACCTCATTAATGTAAAACTCCATCGATAGGGTTTTACACCAAACCATTTGAAAAAATTTAAACCACTGAAAAAGTGAGCATCGAAAAAAGTGATTATTGATGTACTACGATTTTTATGGATGCCATTTTTGTACCGTTAATCAATGTAAAACCTCACTTAGTGAGGTTTTACATCGATTTATGATGTAAACCTCATCTCTATCCAAATGCGGATAAAATCGAACTGAAAGTACCGTTATATACTATCCAAATGCGGACAAAACCGAACCGATAGTGATCTTTTACACCGCAAACAAATGCAGCCTTAGGTTTCAATTCTTATTTTAATGCACTTGTACTGCATTCAAACAAAATAAGATAAATTTTGAAACAAAAATAAATCATAATTTGCACCAAAATCATTTAAATTATCACAGTTTTGCATTAGTACAAATAGATTTACTATGCAACCAATGCAGCTATAGAACCAATGAATAATCGGTTCAGGATTGGTCCACCCTATTTCGAACCAGACCCAACCCATTAACAGTTTTAACTTGAAGCCTCAGCTCTCAAGAATGGATTAAGGTTGTGTTTGGTATGACTGCAGTTTCTCCGTAAAACGTTTTGGGTTGATTAATAGAAATTGTGGAGATCATGAGAAAGATGAGCTGTCACATTATATAAGAGAGTCAAATCAACTGAGAAAATGCATGTGGAAATTGATCATTTCTGTTTAGAGTTGAAACATCAAGTGGTATTTTAACACCAATTTTCATGAAGAAACAGTAATGGTACCAAACACAACCTTAATTTAGCTTTGACCCCAACCTTACAAATTCTCATTTAGGCCAAAGTAATTGGTAAACCAGAGGTTGAGACTTGAACTCCATTTGAGTAGCTTGATCATCCACTCAATTAGCTTTGATCCCCTCATCATCATAACTCATAAGCTTTGATCCTCATCAGCAAACTGATCCCACAAAGAGAAAAAAAGAGAAGGTTGAGGAACCCAAAAAGCTTTGAGTAAGTTTTGGATGCTCCATCATCGGTTTTCAATTCAAAACTCAAAATGGTGTTCTCTGATCTGATAATAGAAATCTATCTCTATCCATGTATGCACTACTGTTACTGTTACATTGGTTTGTAATCTTTTGCATAAACAGACATCAGGAAAATAGATTTCTTCTTCTTGAGTCATCCACGTCGCTATCCTTGATGACCTGTGCCAAGCCGATGCACTCAGTCATCGATTTTCATCTTACTTTATGGCCTACAATTACAACTCACAGATAAACTAACTTGCACCAACAGAACATCAACCTCTTCTTCTTCTTCTTCTCTCTCTCTCCATCATCTACTCATCCCCTTCCTATCCACAATTTCATACTCTATTTTCTTATTTCCATTTACACGACCATCACCACCACCACCACATATTTTCCTCTTTTTCTCAGAGGGAGGGAAGGAGAGAGAGACTCCATCCGTCCCTCGTCCAATAAACCAGTTGCAGAGGACTACACACAGTGACACAGACACCCTCTTTCATTTTCTCTGGTTAAACCAATCAGAAATTGAGAATTAAGAAATGCACGCACAAGACTCGGGGGTTCCCAATTTCGATCTTCCCGAGGAGGTCCTCGCTGTCCTGCCGTCTGACCCTTTTCAACAGCTCGATATCGCTCGCAAGATAACCTCCATCGCCCTCGCGACACGTGTCTCTAAGCTTGAATCCGAAGCTTCTCGTCTTCTCGCCAATCTCACTGAGAAAGATGCCTACATCTCCGAATTACATGCTCAGATCGAGGCCCTCGACGCTTCCCTCGCCGATACCGCCGATAAGCTCGCTCGGGCCGACGAAGAGAAGGTACCCACTACTTCCCCTCCCTCTCCTCTACGGTTGGGTTTTCCTTTTGCTCACTTTGTTCTGTTTCTGTGTGGTTACAACTTACAGGAGGCTCTGTTGAAGGAGAACGCTTCCCTGTCCAACACTGTAAAGAAGCTTAACCGAGATGTCTCCAAGGTAAAACTATCCCCATCCTCCTGTTTTTCGTATTCCAACCGAAATTCTGCGCGTCGAAATCTTTTGAAGACTGAGATTCTAATAGAACAATCAATTAGTGCCTTGAGGGTGGAACCAATCTTCTGATTTCTTTAACTCTGAATGCTACAATATCCTACTCCTGCTACAAAATCAATTCTGTTGACTTCGCCATTGTTCTATTGGGGACCTTTCAGATTTACCATATAGCATTCCTCTTGGCTTTATTCTTTGTTTAATCCTTATTGACCATAATCTGATTTACAAATAAACATCTATCTCAGCTTAATGCCACTCTCAAACTGGCTCGATGCCTAAACCAAATTCAACTGTTTAAAGCATTACCAGAAGAATACCATTAATGATATCATTGTGTTTTTCCATTTCGTTTGAGTGCACAACCTCATCATCTCTAAATTGGAGCCATTTCTGGTTTATTAAGAAAAAAAAATGTATATAATTGAGCTGAACCTTCCTCTGATTTTAAAATTTCCCCTATCATACATGCTTGCTTAGCACAACTTTGAAATTTCCTTCCATTAGATATCCATCACATGATCTTAATGTGAGGCCATTTGATCACAGATGAAATGGCTGAACAGAATGACTTATTGTTTTGTCTTTTAGTGGATAAAATAATCAAGTAATAAAATACTCAAGGGTATAATAATCAACCCAATTTCTGCTCCATCCAGTAAGGAACTTGTAACCTCTTGAATAAATTATTCACTAAATGCCAAAAAAATAAGTCTTTTAGTCATTCAGTTCAGCCACTTCAGCTGTTATCAAACATCCCCTGAATGTTATTGCACGACTTTTACAAATTTTCATTTTCATAAATCCAATAATACCCTGCCATTGCAAATTTTAGATGCTTTTTTTTAGAGAGAGAAGATAACAAGGTATTATATTAATTAATAATAATATTAAAAAAAAGGCTGTACGAACAGAGACAGTAAGCACAGGAGCCCAGAAACAGGGCATTGCATTTCTACTGAATAAATCCAATCTATTTACTCCATTTTTGCCAAACTATCAGCTAACAGATTTTGATCTCTTGGAACCCATCTGAAAGAACAAGCAAGTTTAGATGTTATTGACACCGAGATGTCCTTATTTTATGTGGGATAGTTAATTGTCGATGTTACTTCCTCTCTCCTCTTGTAGTTCAGGACAGGACACAACCATTTTGGCATTTTGATGATTGGGCATGGATTGAACAGTTTGACCACTAGTTCAACCGTTTCACTCATCTAAACAAAAAATGAAAAATTAAAAAATTAAAAATCAGAAATGGTCCCAGATTTTTTTAGAGCTGTTGTACAGCAAAATAAGCTTAAAACAATAAATGTCAGAGGGTATAACAACTATTAAAACATGTACCAGTGGTATGTTTGACCAAAGTCCACACTTCTAAGAACAGGGCAACTAAAAATCCACTTTGGCCGTTGGTTCCCTGTTCCAACTGTCCTGCTGTCTATCTGGTCTGGTCTGTTATCAGTCTAACAATGTTGGTTAGGATTTTGAGAATGTTAGAAAATTTTGAAAATTAAAAAAATAAAGAGTTTCTGAATGGAACAGGTTTTTTAGGTGATACACATCAGTAAAAAATCTACGTACAAGCAAGAGAGGTTATTAGTATTTTTCACAGCTATAATAGGAGGTGAGCATATCAAGAGGTGGCTGCTATTGGTCCCACAAGAACATTGTTCTTCATGGACTGTTGGGAGCTTGTCAAGAAAGGTGACTTAAGGAGCCATATGAAGGGAATAAAGTCGATGTTTTGAATATTGTAATCATAACAATGATAGAAAAATGTAATTGTAATAGGAATTAGGAACTGTAATAAGGTTGAGTTGAATTGAATTGTGATTTTTATCATAAATTGTAAGATTACTTCTATCTTTTAAAATTTTGTCAAAATAATTCAAAATATATAGTAAAAGCTAACATATAAAGAAATATGGTTTTAACACATTTTAAATCCCTATTATATGAGTAGTTAGTAATTACTAAAACGAAGTTTACCATTTGTACATTATAGGTGTAAGATAATTTAATCAAGTTTTGACTTCAAAGTTGATTAACACACACATAATGGCTTTTTAACCTACATATGATCTCAATGCATGCCACCCACCCCTCAATGCTTTTCTGAGAAAGCACGTTATGGATGACTAAGTTTATGGTTATATTCTTTTCTTTGATAATTAAGCATTACCACCCTACTATTATCTTTATCAAATAAACATTAGCATTAGCAGGTGATGGACCCCTCAATTGTGGTACCAACTTTTTTTCTTCAAATAGTTGTTCTTGGATTTCATTAACGAGTATTGTAATAGATATCAGTAAGTGCGTGTGGAAATGGAAAAAAAAAATTAAAGTAAAAACAATGTTACTGTTCTACTTTCTGAATCCAAGTCCCTCTGCTGCTTCTTAGTAATATATTGTATAACCAAATTTATTCATGATTCAACCTCAATTTTCTTGTCTTCTCTGGAGTAAGTTTTCACCATTTTCCACTTGTACAGCTGGAAGTCTTTAGGAAAACTCTCATGCAATCACTGCAAGAGGAGGAAGAAACTTCTGTAAGTCATATTTTCTATAAATTATTTCTGCATTTACAGATATTTGTTTTGCAACTATTTCTTATATTGATTGTTTATAACTCTTGGATATCTTACTCTAGTGAATTTCCTAGATGCATTTAAGATTTTGACCACCATCCTGACTAAATCCCTTTCTGCAGCAAGCAGCAGCTCCAAAGATTGTTGTGAAGCTGATGCCAGGTTAGCAAAGCTAATACTTCTAGTTCACTGTTTGGTGGTGTTATAAGATTACTTATAAACAGTTTACTGTTTAGTCTAAGTATATTATTAATGACAAAGTGCGGTATTAATTGATTTTTATTACAAAAAAGCAGAGAAGAATGCAGGGCCACTAGGTCTCCCCTGAGAGGCTTCTTGGGTCCCAAGTTGAATTGTTGGGTTGCTCAAATCTTTTCAATCTGCCGACACTTCCATATTTCATACAAACATCTTAAAGAATTAAATAGACTCTGTGGCTCTCTCTGTCACACAAACACATATAATCCCAAAACAGATTTTGGATTTTCTCATGACAATAGTTCTGTTATGGTTTCTTGACCTACCAGAAATGGACCACTGAGCATCTGGGTTTCGAATTTTTGCCCTGATAAATTATTTTGTTGACTCTGCTCTATCATTTGTAGACCATATGAAAATATTATAATAAGGTTTTCTGATTTGTTTCAGGGGAAAATGCTATACTACCACCTTCAAGGTCATCTTCAATTCAGAGTCAGTTTTCAGAAACAGGAAATTCATTTACAGAGGATGGTGATACAGATGGTATGCTGGCATTACATTTCTTCAATAGTTGTTGACAGAATTGTTGTGACTGCACATACACATATCATGAAGTGTTTTTTCCTGAAATTATCTTCATTTTCATCTGACGTAGTTGAAGAACTACTACTCTTTCTTTTTTTCTTTTTGTTCTTACTACTAATATTTTGGCAGCATCAAGGCCCCGAGTATCACAAGGTCTTCTGTTAGCATCCCAAGCCAGCACGCCAAAGGTTTCACCTCCAGTTTCCCCTCCAAGTCTTTCTGTATCAGGATCTCCAACAAGAATGTCTAAACCAGTTTCACCAAGACGGCATTCCATTTCCTTTTCAACCTCGAGAGGTATGCTTGATGATAGATCTTCAATTTTTTCTTCTGTTTCATCAAGCCATCACAGTTCAATATCATCAAGCTCTGCTGACTTTGGAAGCCAAAGTGGTTAGCTCTGAGAACCTTCTTCCTGATAGTAAGGATTATTCATATACTAATTAATCATTTCAAGCAGAGTTGACACAACTTCCTGTGATATACATCATACATACAAGTGTGGATTCATTAATCATCACTCTGTACCTGTAGTGTGAATAAAAGCTGTCTTAAACTAATGTTGTTTATCAGTTATTTAGTAATATACTTATGTTTCTCACATTGATCTCATTTTTCTTTCTTCTTTTTTCCCCATCAATTTGTTTCAGGACGGACCAGAATAGATGGGAAAGAGTTCTTCCGCCAAGTTCGGTATATAAAAAAGCACACTTTCTTAGAATTTTGGAAAGATATATACATCAAAAACTCAGTATTTTACTTGATTCTTTAAATATTCATCAATCTGCATGGCTCTGCATTCTTCTCAATAGTCAGCATTCACCATATATAGTGCCACTTTGTGCGAATAGAGTCAGTTCCTAGTACACATGAACATGCCTAAAGATACTTGTACCTTAATTCCATTCTTCTAAAAGAACACATCAAGTAACCAAATGGTTAAGTAGTTCACTTCCAATTTTTGGAACAAGTGCTTCCCCAACGTTCTGGGTCCAATTAAACATTGAACAGTGTTGAGGGCCCGAGAATAGGATCTCATCACGGGTCGGTCCACGGGGAAAACCTCCTGTTTTCCCTTGTTCCTTCCTGCTCTTGATGAACCTATCTTGGCGCCTTGGTGATTTGTTCAAGAGATCACCAACTCTCCTAACTCACTTCTTTAATTGAATATTCGATATCCTCATTCAATAATGGTGTCTCCTTAAATAGGAGATTACAAGAGTCCTAATCTTAGGGAGTCTCCTTGCTGAATAGGGAGACTTCCAGTTCTATCTTGCTAAGGATAAGATAAGTTAATCCTAATCTGATAATGTACTAATAAGATAAGATAAGAGCAATAGAATAAGATAAGAACAAGCAAGATGATATAATCTAATCTGGATGAGACTGTTGTTGCCGAACTGGGTAGGATGAGAATCATTGAATCACTGCTGCTGTTGGCGGTGGGTCAGGTTCCTGTTGCTGCCAGCGGCGATGATACTTCTTCTCAAGGAATGCGTCCATAACATTACTCCCCTCCTGGACTAAGAGCTTGTCCTCAAGCTCGAACTCCGGATACGTGGCTTGGAACTCTGCCAATGGGATCCAGGTGGCTTCGGCCGATGGTAAGCTACCCCATTCCACCAAGACTTCAAGAATTCCTCGATTGAAACGAGAGCGGGTGAGAGCCGTAGGCTGGGGAACAAGTTTGCCATCTTTCAAGGGTGGCAGGGAAGGGACTTGGTCCGGAGGAACACCCGAAAATGGTTTCAGCAAGGAGATGTGGAAAACATCATGAATCCGACTGTTCTCCGGCAATTCCAACTGGTAGGCCACACTGCCAATCCGCCGTAGAACCTTGAAGGGCCCATAGAACTTAGGGGCCAGTTTTGGGGCAGCCCTGTGGCGCAAGGAGCGTTGCCGGTAGGGCTGGAGTTTTAACCAAACAAATTGTCCTGGTTCAAACGACAGTTCCCGGTGGTGCTTGTCATAGTTGAGCTTCATGCGGGGCTGGGCCTACTGTAAGCGAAGGTGGACGTCGGCTAGGAGGGCGTCGCGTTCTTGTAAGGAGTGATCAATTACTTCCAAACGAGTAGAACCGGGCTCATAGGACAGCAAGCGAGGAGGGTCCCGGCCATAAACGACACGAAAGGGAGTCATGCCGAGGGAAGAATGGTAGGCCGTGTTGTAACAGTATTCGGCCCAAGGAAGCCAATCCACCCACCGTCGCGGTTGATCCCTTACGAAGCAACGGAGATACATCTCGATTGTGCGGTTGACCACCTCCGTCTGACTGTCGGTCTGTGGATGATAAGCTGAGGAGAAGGCCAGGGTGGTGCCGTGCAACCGAAATAACTCTTTCCAGAAGGCACTAGTGAAAACCGGGTCCCTATCACTGACGATGGATTCCGGTAACCCATGTAAGCGAAAGACATGTGTAAAGAAGGCGAGGGCAACTGAAGTGGCACTGTACGGATGTGATAGAGGAATGAAGTGGGCATATTTAGAGAAGCGATCTACTACCACGAAGAGGACCGGTTTGCCACCTACCTTGTGTAGTCCCTCAATGAAGTCCATGGAGATGTCGGCCCAGATCTGTGTCGGGATCGAAAGGGGCTGAAGGAGGCCTGCCGGGTGTAGGTTTTCCCATTTATGCTGTTGGCACGTGGAGCAATTCTGGACAAAATTCCGAATAGAAGTCTTCATACCTCGCCAATGGAAATCAGCCCGGACGCGGTGTAGCGTTTTCTAAACGCCTTCATGGGTGGAGTTATGGATGCTGGTGATGATGGTGGAAATCAACGGGGAGTCTGGCGGAAGATGTACCCGGCCTTTATATAGTACCAACCCGTCTTGAAGCGACCAATTGGAGTCGGCAGCGCCGGACTTGATCTTCTGGACCAAGAGCGACCATTCCGGAGACTGTGGCGTCGCCTTCTTAATGTCGTTTAACAGAGAGATCCGGGGTTGGGAAATTCCATACAGAGCCATCGCGTCTTCATCTCGCCTAGACAAGGCATCAGCTGCGTGATTGGAGGATCCCGCCTTGTATTCCACCCGGAAATCGAACCCGAGCAGTTTGCTAACCCAATGCTGCTGAGGGGAAGTGGTGAGTCGTTGCTCCAACAGGTATTTGAGGTTGTAATGATCAGTTTTGACGACGAACGACTGCCCCCACAAATACGGCCTCCAGTGCTGGACGGCTCGGGCTAGGGCGATTAGTTCGCGCTCATAGGCTGGAAGCTTCAGATGTCGATCGGCCAGTCTGCGGCTGAAGAAAGCAATCGGGTGCCCTTGCTGCTGTAACACGGCCCCGATACCCATTCTAGAGGCATTGCACTCAACTATAAATTCGAGAGTGAAATTTGGTAATTGCAGGACTGGGGTGGAAGACAAGGCGTTTCTCAGTGTTAGAAAAGCTGCATCGGCTGCATCGTCCCACCAGAAGGAATTTTTCTTTAACAGGTTGGTTAACGGGGCAGCCAACAGTCCATAATTTTGTACAAATTTGCGGTAGTAACCTGTTAATCCGAGGAACCCGCGTAAGGCCTTGGCTGATTGAGGCTTGGGCCATTCCTTGATAGCCTGAATTTTGGAATTGTCAACCGTCACACCTTGCCCATGGATGACGTGGCCGAGATAAAGAACCTGCGCTCCCCGAAGGAGCACTTAGACCGTTTGAGGAAGAGTTTGTGTTGGCGTAGGAGCTCGAAAACGGTCCGCAGATGGTGCATATGCTCTACCCATGATTTGCTATAGACAAGGATGTCATCAAAGAATACTAAAACAAATTTTTGCAGATGGGGCTGAAATACCTCGTTCATCAATGACTGGAATGTGGATGGGGCATTGGAGAGACCGAATGGCATGACTAAAAATTCGAAGTGGCCATGGTGGGTTCGAAAGGCAGTCTTCTTCACGTCACCGGGAGCCATGCGAACCTGGAAATACCCGGACCTGAGGTCCAACTTAGAGAAGTACTGAGCACCATGCAGCTCGTCTAGCAGTTCGTCCACAACGGGAATAGGGAACTTATCCTTGATCGTCCGGCCGTTGAGCTCTTTGTAGTCAACACAGAACCTCCAAGTTCCATCCTGCTTCGCCACCAAMAGAACCGGCGAAGAGAAAGGGGAGTGACTCTTGCGTATGATCCCTTGTTTCAGCATCTCTGTACATTGTTTTTCTATCTCGTCCTTCTGTAAGTGAGGGTAGCGATAAGGCCGGACAACGACTGGTTCTGAACCCGCCACCAAAGGAATTCGATGGTCGCATGCTCGGGGAGGAGGGAGTCCCTTGGGCTCCTGGAATATATCTGAAAACTCGGCGAGGAGTTTTTCCATGGCCGCCGGTTTTGTCTGAAGTGTATGGACCTGTGGTGTCTTCTCTTTAACCCTACAACCGTGCCACGAAACTTGCTTCCCATTTAGGTGGAATGTCATTGTGATTGCGCTGAAGTCCCATAAAATTGGGCCTAGGGTAATTAACCATTTGACCCCAAGAACAATATCGAACCCATCCAAGGAGAGTACAAATAAATCAGCAAAAAATAGTTCAGAATTGACCTGTATCGGGACATTCTTACAAATTCCCGGACTGTGAACTCTTTCACCGTTTGCGACGGCTACCTGTAGTCATGGCCGGAGTTCCATTGGTAGTTTTAACTGGAGGGCGGCATGTTCACTTATGAAGTTGTGTGTGCTCCCTGAATCGACGAGAATCCACACCGGTTGACCTGCTATTTGTGCCTGTAACTACATGGTCTGAGAGGTTTTAATACCGGTGATCGCATGGAGAGAGATCTCCGGCTCAAATACGACGGGTTCTTCTTCATCCTCCTCTTGCTCATCGACTAGGAGGCAAAAAAGCCTCTTGCACCTATGTCCTGCTGAGTAGAGGTCATCACAGTTGAAACATTGGCCCCTCGCTCGGCGTTCTGCCATTTCTGCCCTGGTCAAACGCTTAATGGGTGGAGCGGCCATGTTGCTACCTGCACTTGTCACCGATCTAGAGGTGGTGGTTGTGTGAGATCTCAGTTCCCGGCTGGTTGCAGAAGAGGGGTTCGCTGTCGCTGACTTTGGGGGTGCCCATGAGTTCGGTGGAGGACCCACATTGTAGGTCCCGCGGCTGAGCTGCAGCTTGCGCTCGAACGCGCGGGCTAAGTTCATGGGGGTTCTGCTAACCCTGTCGTGAACATGTCCACCTGCTGGTCCGGTCGCACTGAGGATGCCCTCGCGAGGAGGGTTTGGAACTGGCGCTGGTATTCTGCTACCGTGCCGGTTTGTTTAAGGTTAATCAGCTCGCCTAGGGGGTTGCTAGTCAGTGGGGGTCCGAACCTAAGAAGGCAACAGGACTTAAACTGGGGCCAACCGAGCCTGGGTTCTTCTTGCTCTAACCGATAGAACCAAATTTGTGCCTCCTCTGTTAAGTGAAAGGCGGCTAGACTTACCTTATCCCGGTCGTCTGTCCGTTGATTCCGAAAAAACTGCTCGCACCGATACAGCCAGCCCAAGGGGTCTCCGTTGTCGTTGTACAACGGGAATTCTAACCTGCTGTACTTGGGGATGATTGCGGCTCCTTGGCTAATGGGCTGCTGTTCGCCGGAAGACTCCGGCAGATCTGGTCGGCGGCCGCTAGTGGTTGTCCCCCCTTCAGTGTTCCTTTCCTTGCTAGAAAGGAATAACTCCATCAGACGCCGCAGCTCCCTTACTTCGTCTTTGATCTCGCGTACTTCGGAACTGGTCTCCACAAGTTGGTGCTCGAGGTCGTGGACCCTGGATGGCAGCTGCTCCAGATCTCCCATGACGCYTTGCTCTGATACCAAGTTGTTGAGGGCCCGAGAATAGGATCTCGTCACGGGTCGGTCCACGGGGAAAACCTCCTGTTTTCCCTTGTTCCTTCCTGCTCTTGATGAACCTATCTTGGCGCCTTGGTGATTTGTTCAAGAGATCACCAACTCTCCTAACTCATTTCTTTAACTGAATATTCGATATCCTCATTCAATAATGGTGTCTCCTTAAATAGGAGATTACAAGAGTCCTAATCTTAGGGAGTCTCCTTGCTGAATAGGGAGACTTCCAGTTCTATCTTGCTAAGGATAAGATAAGTTAATCCTAATCTGATAATGTACTAATAAGATAAGATAAGAGCAATAGAATAAGATAAGAACAAGCAAGATGATCTAATCTAATCTGGATGAGACTGCTGTTGCCGAACTGGGTAGGATGAGAATCATTGAATCACTGCTGCTGCTGGCGGTGGGTCAGGTTCTTGCTGCTGCCGGCGGCGATGATACTTCTTCCCGAGGAATGCGTCCATAACAAACAGCATCATCAAACTACCTCTTCCACATCTGATCTCTGTATATGTTTCATCAGGAGCCGCTTGTCTTATGAGCAGTTTGGTGCATTCCTAGCCAATGTCAAGGAATTGAATTCCCACAAGCAGACAAGAGAGGTACATGAAATCAGCCATCATTTCTCATTTGGTCAATTTTTAACTCTTCCAAATACAATCCTTCATTGCCCAGCTATTTCTGTGAAATATGTCTTTGACCTTTCTATCTTTATGAACGAACATACTTTCAGGAAACTTTGCAGAAGGCAGATGAGATTTTTGGACCAGATAATAAGGACCTCTATAGCAAATTTGAAGGATTAATCACCCGCAATGTTCACTGAAAGCCCCAACATATGGAATAAAATTGTTTTTCTAAATATCAATGTACCGTTTTTTGTTCCTTCTTTAGACTTTAGCTGTATCTGTAAATAGAATAGTCTCTTGGCTGTCATTGTGTGATTCTATGTACAACTCTCCTTTAGTTTTTTTTATTATTTATTGGTTGTATCTACTAATCAAATTTCAACAGAAGTCTTGTTTTAGTAAGTACCAAATGTTCATCTTGATTTTAATCAAGTAATGAATAACATAAGATAAAAATTTTCCATTCTTGTATGGAACATGTGCAAAATTCATTAGTTGCTACTGCAGGCCAATTTTGAAAAGCAGAACTCATGGAATTTCTGAAGAAATCCCAGGCGGGGTCTTGTCAGGGGTGGACTGGATACAGACTTGAACCTTCTTATTGCATGAAGTGGCTGCTTTCGTATTGGAGGTTGCAATCTCACCCTTGTCAGCCTGAGATTTTATCATTTGCACCAAGCATTCCTCCTTGGAAGGAAATCTCATATCTTGTATGGAATTCAATTTTTGTGAAGATACTAATGGGGAATTTTGATTTGACCTAGAGGTAAGATGCATTGTCCCAAGATCAGGTTCCGAATTTGACTGTTGGTAACTCTAACATCCACTGTAATTGATGGGATGGAAGGTGGAACCAAGACCAGAGGAATTATGGATGTGGACATAGAGTGGACAAGGATGGGCCCCAACCCACCCTCCCTTTCTTAAACCTGGTTCTTCAAATTTCAAATTCAGGCATTTCCATAACAAGAAAATTTTATCTTCCCCAATTTAGGTTGAGTATGAAGCCATGAAGGGGAGATTGCTCTGCTCAACCTGGTAATGGTTGGAAGTATCACGTTTGGCAAGGTTAGAGAAGATAAGCAATTCCGCATAAAATGGCAAGAAATATCCATTAATGGGATGCATACGGAGTTTTCAATCATGGAAGTTTGCCTTTCAAGACATGAAACAGATACTGGTCTAAATGGTGAACAGCTTACTTTTCTGAATCTATCTCATCCTCCTTACACATTGACATCTTGCACCGAGGCAGATTTCTGGCTCACAGTACAAATTATAATTCTTAGCCCCCTTCCTTGGTTGGGCCGTTATCGTGTTATGCTGGTTATTTCTATTTCTATTCTGTCTAAGTTTTCAATCAGAAATGATACAAATATAAACTGTTGAGTGGGTTGCCTTGCATGTGTGCCTGTAAATGAAGCCACTAGACCTGGCAATCGGATTGGGTTGGGTCAAGGGGATATTGGTTCGAGCTTTGGGTTGGGATGGAAAAGGTTAAACCCTAAACCTAAATAATCAGGCCAGGGTTAACTCACAAGTAAGAAGAGTCAATGGTTCAATTACCCAGTCAGCAGGCAATGATTTTTTTATCAAAAATATGGATTTTGATGTAGGCGCATGTGGCAGGAACCGGATGGTGCCATGTGGCAGAGCTAGGAAGCAATTCTGGTCGTCCGCTGCTAACTACCTCCAGTTCATCCCAAGCGGGCTCAAGTATAAACAAGTGGCATCACTCCCTAGGTAAGCTATCTTGGCTCTTTTTGCTCTCAAGCTCTCTGGGTGATCTCGTTTGAACACTCTGTCCTCAGGCCTCGTCCAATATCATTGTTACGCACTTACTAACTTGACTGTCGGAGACTCCGTCTCTAAGATAGCACCTGGAGCCTCTGACATGCTTCTCCTTCCACATGTCGGACTTACAAGCCCTCAGACATACCAGCCTTATTATCCTCGACCCATCCTTGGCAGCAACAGATTTAATCGTTCAATTCGAATTATTCAAACAGTTTAACCATGGGTCAATGCCGATTTGGAAACATTGATGTAAAAAAAAGGTGATTCGGTGGTGATCGGTGACCCGGGTTGGGCAAGTCGGGTTCATGGGGTAGGTCGAATTTTTGCCAGATGTAGAAGCCATGGCTCATCAAAATAGGTGGACCAACCTAACATGGCCTGTTGGCTGTTGCATCCCAGATTTCTTTTTACAAGACGTCAATGCCAAACAAGAAGACAAAGCATTTCATTACTTGCTTTTATTTTTAACCATGTATATGGAGGAAATGTTATCTAATATTTGTCCAAACAGCAACCCTAATATTTTTGTATGGGTAAGAGCAACCGACATTTATCTGCAATCGATCAGGAGGAACCAAGCAATATATTCTCAAATCTCAAATGGGTTAAAACCTAATTTTAACGATTACGTCGGTCTCATTAATGGTTCTATCAGACGCCTTCACCCCTTTGATTGGACCGAAACAACCCAGAAAAAGTATTTGTCTTACAATATCCACACAGACCAAAACCTAACCCTTAAACAAATCAAGTACTACACATTGCTGAGAATTGAGAAAGCAATATCTGTACGTTGGTCAATCACAAAATGACTCTAGCTGTGTGTCTGCGATCGAGGTCGGTGCGACTCAAAACAGTTTTATATAGCTTCAGACCTTCAGACCAGTACTTTGTACTGTCTGTATATAAGGCCGAAAAGGATCAATTTCCGCCATATGTAAATGTAGCTAACTGAAAATATTGATAAAAAGAAAGAAAAGATGAAACCCAGAAAAAAGAATTCATTATGGAACTATGGGATCAGACAAAGTTGAGGATCGACCTGGTCTGATAGTTTAAACATCGGCACATAGGTTGGTTGCATCATCTGATAAGGAATTACAATTACTTCTGTGGATAGAAGATGAAAGGCTTAAACATTTTAACAGATTTTCTAACAGACGAGAGGACACATGCATTGGATTTAGAAACACGTAGTTATCAGCTCAGAAAACATCGTTCTCACTTTTGCCATTCTTCTGCAAAAAGAAGTGAATAAACAAATATAACTCAGGAGATGGTCTGTCACCACGCCCAGTTCTTATTTAACAAGACTCATGCTAGGGTCGGTCGTATTTTGGCATCTGATAATTACCATCTAGAGCACACCAACGAACCAGAAAAAAAAAAAAAAAAAGTATTGAAATGATGATGGATTGGGCATTGACAAAGAGATTTTTTTTCATGGAATAATTTCTTCTATCTTACTCCTTAGCAAAGGATCTAGGAAGCTTTCAAGATTAATGACTGTAGTAAGATTGAAGATTCTAATAATTATCAATGTTTTAAAAATCAATCCTGATTGAATCACTCAAGTCAAATGGAAAATTTTTAGGGTTTTTTTTTATATAAATAGCAGAACAAATAGAATAGATGCATATTAAAAAATCATCCAAAATGGATAATATATAGATCACCCCAATCAAATAAATGAGTGTGTAACATATGACTCGACGATCAGGTTGAATGGGTCAATGGTTTAACTGTCCAGAGTGGATAATTTTTTTTATCAAATTAATGGTTTTTTGTCAAAATCTGATTTTAATAAAAAATAAAACCGTAAACATAGCTAACGATAGTTTAAATGATTCAACCAATCGAGTCAATGAGGGATCGAAAAATATTGATAATAATTATCAGTGTCAGTATAATTACTATTGATTGATCTCATAGTTGGGACAAATCAACATCCTAGAGTAGTAAACGAAACGTGCCAACTTCTTTAGTTAGGTTGAGAGCAAGATAAGAAAACAATAGTACTCCATACTCATTATTATTTGAATCATTTTGCGTGAGAGATTGGTTTGTGGCCGACGCTAACAAAATCAGCTGAAGAAAGATGGTCCTTTTTCTTTAGGATCTTTCTCTGAATCTTCATCCTTTTTCAATCTCAAGTTTTTCACTTTTCAGTAAAAAGAAATCTGCAAGAGCACTCTTACCGTCTTACGCCATTGGAGCTCCACCATTGTTTTATTGATAACCAGAACGAATAAATAAGTATTGTCTGTGTAGTCTGTGTCCATTTTCTTTACTCCATGTATTCTGAATGTGTTCAGGCCTGATTTGCTCTAAACAAACAATATGTCATATAGTTTTTAGGCATGCGTTTCATTACATTGAATTAATCATTTCTTCAACAGCAATTAGGGATAAATAGCATTTGTTCCTATTCAGAGATCTGGGTTTGCAATTTGGGTCCTGATTTTGAATTTGGTTGGGATTGGTTTTGCCTCCTAATTCAAGTATTCAACCCCATTAAGAGCAAAACCAATAACTTGGTATAATTGAAGACAGAAGAAGACATTTAGCAAAGTTAATCTATTGTCATCAATTTATCAAATTAAAGGCTTGTTTGTTGTAATTGGGTCAAATCACTTCATACCCAATAAACCCATTTAAAAATTTCTGCCTTTCTGGGTCTAATATCCTCGTACAAAGTTACAAACCCTATAGGATAGGCCGATAGGGACCAGATCTACTCTAATATATAACCCAGTCCAGACTCCAGACCCGGCCTATTAAATGAATGTTTAGGGTAAAAGAAACATATGGCTCAGTAATAAACTTCAGAATCTACAAAAGCGATTATCAAAATTTGTTACCAATATTTCTTGCTTATAGCGTTACTCAACAAACTACATTAAAAAAACATAATAATAAAGTGTACTCTAATGTGATGATAGGAGAGCTAGGTTTTAGGATCGGCCCCTCATGGGGGGTAGTCTAGACTAGGGAGTCTAGGGTAGGATCCTCTATAAGGGATCTCATCAATGGCTTTGGCTCTTAAATAATACTCATTTTTTTAATTTATTAATTTTCACAAAAAAAATAAAAACACTAATGATCATTTTCGAACTCAGTCACATATATTTATGTATGTTATTTTATGTTACAATTTATATTTTATATATGAATATTATAATATAACACTTATGATACATATTATGCATATTATTTTGTTTTATATAATGTTTTTTCTGCATATATTATATGACACTTGACATATAACATAAAATATTATATAGATTTAATATTTTATGCATAAAAAGTCATAAGCCTATAACCCGGGCCAGGCTAGGCCCAGCCCAGGCTATAGCCCCTTATAATAGGTGTTAAGCCTGACCCGGTCCATGACCACCCCTAATGGCATTGCTGGTCACAATGGGTTGAACCAGTGATTTCTCATTATGGCAGGCCTACGTGGAAGAAATGGGTCCCCGTAGTCAAACACAAGATTTATGTTCGAAGATAGAGTTGTTTTTATGGGTTAAAATTAGGGGTTTTCATATTAAATGTCAAACCGATCAAACCGGCCCAACCTAATCCAAGTT